ATTTTCTGCAAGATGTCTTTATGAGGAGCCTGTTAAATAGTAAGTATTGTTTTATGATTTCACAATTCATTGTGTTTGAGTTCATGATATATTAGTGTGTAAGAGTTACCTCAATTAATTATATATACACATTCAATATAAACATAGGTTAATAGGTAAATATCAATGGGCTGTTTTTACTCTGAATCTTCTGTACAAAAGAGGAGTATTTTGTTATTCATTTAAAGCTTTCAGTCAATAAATGTGGAACAAAAAAACTTTATGGATAGAGTCAATTTAGTAATTGTGAGTATCCCAAATGTTAACCTGATCTCTGACAAAGGCAGTATTGAAGTGGTAATTTGAGTTTGTTATATAAATATAACAAGTTGTATCCCCTCTGTAAACACGCAGTGCAATTCAAAAGCAATTTATTGATATTGTACATTACTTCAAACAGGATTCTATTTCAAACAAATGATTTATAGTTTATAGTATTTACAGTATGATGAATTAGAGTTATAGTTTCCTAGTTTAATTAATTTAAACAAACATTTTAAATATTTTGTGAAAGACTACATTAAAAAATCAATCATCTTCCCTTCCTCTGAGGAACTGCAATTAAATTTCGAACCAGAGATCAACAGTCTAATACAATGTATTAAAGCACAGTATTCTACTGGCATTTTAAGGTTATACTTCATAAGTTTGAATTTTAACTTTACTAAAAGATACGAAACACAATATATTCTCTTAAAATGTTTTAAAAAGTGTGTACAATATGATTTATCATTTATCCCAATAAAACATTTCACTATATTAAGTTTTTTTTTCTTTCAACCATACTTGCAGGCAACAGGAAATATGATATTTGTAATAATCCCATATGATTTCAAGTAAAAATCCAAATATCTTTGACAAATGTTTAATTTGGTTCTCTTTCTTCTTTGCAGAAGTAATTAAAAATAGGTTTCATTGAAACACGTGGCTTCTGTTTCTATCAGCCTCATTTTGTGAATCTCAGCATTATGAATTCAACATTATTGGAGATCGACACAATAGAATACTGCTTTGAGGACATGAACAAATCCTGTATAAAAGAGCACAGAACTGTTGGTATGAAGGTAGCTATGTATTTTGTGTTTGGTCTTACA